GTACTATTGTTTATAATGAAAATGTATATCCATTATCAAAGACATACATAAAGAAAAAATGTTTATATAATATATAACATAAACATGGTTTCACGATGTGTGGAAAGGCATTACTAATACAATGAAAACAAGTTTCCATTGTATACCAGTAAAGATAAAATAACTTTGTATTTTTAGTGATCATTCTTTTTAGTTTTAAAAATGAGTTAATTAATTTAGTTTCACACCACGCGATTTTAGATTTTAAAATAGTTGTTTCTAACACAACGGTGATTAAAATATTCTTAATGCTTGCATTAACTATATGTTATCACAAACCTTAAACCCTATACAACACTTTAAGAGTTGCACAGTATCACGACCATTAAATTAAGAGAAAAGTGGAATCCAGTGTATGCAGCTGGTTGAACCAAGCGGTTTTCGACAGGAGTATATAAGTAAACTTTTCAAAACTTCGAGCCACTTTCTGCATGCACCTCTTCTCTCTAAATTTTCAAGTTTTATTTTCTCCTCCTTCTCTCTAAAATTCTCCTCCTTCTCTCTATAAATTCTCACATTTTTCTTCTTCTGATAATCAACCAGGCTGTGCCTGAGTTTTTCCCTGGTGGCAAGAGTCTATTTTTTCACCAATCAAGTTGTTGTTTGGAGTTGGTAAGTTAAATTCACTCGTTCTTTGAAGTTTCTGTATTTTTTGATACATGCAAGCACTGTTCAGCTTGCATGTGTTCATCATCTACTTCTCTGAATCTATTTTTTGCCTTTGATCCTCTGGTTGGTTTTTTTTCACCGATCAGAAATTAGTAGGTTGCCTTAAAAGTTGCTTGTTGGTTAGTCAAAACTGTGGAAACATAGGAAGTGTCGGGTCTATTCGAGCTAAGGGAAGCTAATAATTTAATTATGGTTGTTTATGTTTGAAATGATTGGTTGAACGTGTGCATGTGTGAATAATTTGATATTGGCTTGATTTCTGTGTATTGCCGGGACCTGTGAACTGGTTGAGAAGTTCTGTAGAATTATGTAGAAAGCAGAGCGCTCGTTGTTGAACGCTCGGATAGGTCATGTAATCGGGTTTAGCGGTATTTGGTGTTGTAGTGATATTTTAACTTAGTGTTGTTCGGTTTAGTATTTACGTTCAGTTTTAAAAGTATTCGTTTTCGATCTCGGCAGTCTTCGGGTTGGTATTAACGTTCGTTCTTAGTCGTACTAGCGCTCGTTCTTGGTAGTGCTCGGTCTTGTACTAGCGCTCGTTTTCGGTAGTGCTCGGTCTTGTACTAGCGCTCGTTTTCGGTAGTGCTCGGTCTTGTACTAGCACTCGTTCTTGGTAGTGCTCGGTCTTGTACTAGCGCTCGTTCTTGGTAGTGATCGGTCTTGTACTAGCGCTCGTTCTTGGTAGTGCTCGGTCTCGTATTAGTGCTCGGTATGAGCTATACGCATTTGGTTTAAGTTTTTAAGCGTTCGTTTTAAACTCTTAAGGTTGGGCTAAGCTCCTAGTGGTCGGTTTTTCTCTAGTGATCAACCAGTAATTACGTTAGGAAATTTCTTCAGTTGTATCTATTATGGACCGTTTGATCTTATCTTTTGGGTAGTGTGGAGGTGTCCGGTCTCCAACGTTCACAGGTTCTCTTTGTCTTATGAGTGAAAATATAACTGATGATTGACTGTTTATGTTAATTTATGAGAATTATGTTTTCAAAACTGTGGAAGAGAATTCCAAGAAGGAATATCTCATGGATGGTTATGAAATTGTAAAGTATGAATATGGATATTGTTAAGCTAGCATTCATCCTGAAATTCTATTATCATTCTCACATAGGGAGAGATATTTCATTTGTGAGAATAGCAGGAGGTCCTACCACCTCGGGGTGCCGAGGTAGGTATTATGGGATTAACTAGAGCTGTCAAAACGAGCCACCTGGCCCGACCCATCACGGATTGGTCACTTAATGAGCCAACCCAACCCAACCCGGCTCATTTATTAGCGAGCCAAAAAAATTCGAACCCGGCCTGACCCACCACAGGTTGGTGGGTAAACGGTTGACTCACTAGCTCACTTAATTACAATTTTTTTTAAATAAATTTTTCTACAAAATTTCTATAATTCAAATCTAAACAAATTTCACTCCCAAATTTCACTCCCAACATGGGTGTTTAATTAATTTTGAAAATAAAGAATTTAAATAATTTTTTCAAGCAAAAAATAATAATAAATACTTTTTATAAAATTAAAATTAAATTTTAATAAAATAAAATTAGGTGGTGGGTTGGTGGGCCAACCCGGCCTACCAAGGGTTCAACCCGCATGAGCTGGGTTTAAATGAGCCGGGTTGAAATCTGATCCGCGTAAAAAAATACAAATTTTTCAAACCCAATCCGGCTCAAAATCGTGGTGGGTCGGGTTGGCCCGCGGGTTGTGACCCATTTTGATAGCTCTAGGATTAACCTTGGGTAGTAGCTTGATTGGTGTCAGCTGTTACACTACCACAAGTGCAAGGAGGACTATAGCTACATATTTTCATACAATCCGGATGGTCAAGTCATAGTGTTCGGTCTATATATGAATTGTGGTGTTCATTTTGTATAAGATTGCTTGTATTGTTGTTGGCATGATGTAGCGTTCGGTCTCACATGGTTTGAACTTGTATGAAATGTATAGATGTGTTTATAATTAAATTACATTAGCTTACCCTACTTTCTTGTTTTGTCTTGTATTGTCCGTCCGATTACCTTTTCTCTTGCAATGATCATCCTTTGGATGTGAGCAAAAGGCGATGAGTGTTCGGTGGAACAAGTGTTGAAAGGCGAGGATCCTGCAGCCTAGTTAGGACCGTTCAGTCATTAGACTTAGCTTATCTTTTGTAAACCGATCGGTTTATACATAATGTTGTATAACGGTTCGTTATGTGATGTTTTGTATAAACCTAGTTGTAGAACCGTTCGGTTTATTTCCTATGTCTTGATTTTAGACTTATGGTGCTCTGTAAAATTTTTAATTTTATAGTTATTTTGGATAACTGTAATGTTACATACTTTACTAATGATATAATATTATGCTATATTTTGGGATGTTACACGCAGTGTTTAAACAATAATATTTAAATGTTGTCATATATTTAGATTATAGGTCTCTTTAAAATATTTGGAAAGAACAATTAAATATTATATACCTTAAACAAAATTTTTAAATTTTATAAAAAATATAATCAATAAACAATTTTTGATTCATATAGTAATTGGATTATAGTGTGATTATACATTTAGATCACACTTAAACTGGTTTTAAAACGTGACTTATTATTTTTCTTTGACTAATTATCCTCATTGATGTGTTCAACAGTCTCATAATGTTGCTCCTTTTTTTTGGGTTATTAACTACTTATGTGGTAGACACATCATAATTATGATAATTTTGTCACAATTTTTATATATGGGTGTTATATATTTGTGCATATATAACAAAATGATGTGTCTGGCAATTTATGACAAGGTGCCCACAACATGTAGAAAATGAACACGTGAAAATCATCACACTTAACGTTATATATAAACTCGTTCAATCAAGTATTTTCTACAAAATGTTATGAAAAAGGTCAATTTCCACACAAAACTCATTCATAATTTTTTAACCTATTGTTCATAATATTGAAACCAATAGATTATTTCTCGAATATAATTTTCCAATAATTTTATAACAAGTGTCATTTCATTCCATAAATTATGTATATCCATAAACCTCTTTCAACCAATAAGATTTTATTGTTTTTCCATATTCAATATATAATAATTTTTAACTTTGTTTTTTATAAGTATTTATATTATTTATTCTCTAATGTTTTTTTATAAAAAACACTGATATTGTACTTAGCATGATGACTAATTGTTAAATGTAATGACTTTTCTACTAATATTAATACTAATAGGTGGTTTGAAATAAATAATTTTTTGCTTGTTTAATTTATATACAATATGAATTATCGTTAAGTCATTTTTTATATGCGTAAACATTATTCTTTTATGACAATAAAAGTCAAACATAAGTTCTTGTACATGTTACTCAAACATCGAACTTTCCTCCAGAGTTTATGCATACATAAATTTATTTTCTAATCAAAATATATAATATAATTTTAAAATATGAAAATTTGATTATATTTATTATCTCTATTAGTCCATTATACTCTTAATACTTTTTAAATTGTAATTTTAATTCATCTTTATTTCGTGATTTTGGTCAATTTCTTTTTCTTTCCATAATTTTAGTTTCCAAATTTTATAAAGTCTACAAAAATTGTATAATTCTTAAATTTGCGTACTTTCTTAACAAATTCTAAATCTCAAACTCATTAGAATAAAATTAAATTAGAAATAATCCAATAAATTAAAGTAGAAAGAATAAAATATGCAAAAAATGAAAATCAAATCATAGTTATGAGTTTTCTATAATCTAAATACTAAAATCAAGAAAAATAATAACGACACCAATGTCATAACTTAATTACAGAATTGAAACTATAACTAAATATATATTTTTCTACTCAGACGAGTATTTAACGACGAAATGTACTTTTTCTTAATTATTTCAAACAATACTTTCTATCCTTATCTGTAAATTGATTTAATAATTTTATAAGAGATTATTTATATTATAATTAACTCTTCTATTATTAAGGTAAATTAGTTTTAAAAAATAAAAGTTATATATATATATATATATATATATATATATTATTTTCCAAGAAACAATCAAGTGGGAATTATTACTGTAATTAATTAAAGAGACAGTTTATTTTAATAATAAATATCGGTTAAATTTGTGCTTACGTAGCAACTATATTAACGACGTCGTGTTGCATCGCACATATTCATTCTTACATATATAACCTTGTTTGTCTTCAAATATCCACAAAAATTGTCACTCCCAGTTGTTAGAATTTAATAAATGACAAGGGGCAGTGATGTAATTAAACATGGTATAAAGATTCAAACCTGGACCTCTTCTGTTGCAAAAAAGGGCAAGAGGATCAGAGGAGTTACCGTGATCCATTGTTGTTCTCTATCTTAAGTTTTTATTTCTCTCTCTAGAATTTTCTATCTGCTCGTCCTTCCTCACAAATTAGGGTTTTTGCGAATCTCTTGTTAGTCTGTAATCGAATCGTAGCCATGGTTTCCGATTCAATCTCTGCCGTGCCGATTCCCTCCGCCGCAAACACTAAGAACCCCGGGAAGAAGAAGAGGGTTCGATTTATTTTCGTTTTTAAATTTTGTAATGATACATGCATTAGGTTTTTCATTCTTATCAATCTCATCGATTACAATTGCCTGTGTGTTCCAGACTAACAGGTCTGCAAAATTGAAGCAGTATAAAATTGATGCGCGCCGCGAACAGTGGCTTTCGCAAGGTACGTTACAGGCGCACGTGCGCACTTTTGTCTCCATTGATCCATTCACTCTTTGATTCTGGTATGTATTTTCGATTTGTATCCGAGAGTTTCAGGTGTGGTGAAGAATAAGGGATGCAAGGACGGTGTGGACGATGGCGTCGTTCACGCGCCGCCGCAGTCGGTAAATCACGGCAAGCACTCCTTGGAGCCTCTTAACACGAGGCGCGAAGGCGAAGAAGACGACGAATTGATTCATCATGACAGCGATTCGGAGTCTCCTACCAACTGTCCCGCCGGCGTATTGTGTGGCAATGATTCGGGAACAAACTTCACCGGAAGCAGTAGTGGCGGGAGCAGCAGCAGCAGCAGTTCAAGCAGCGGTGGGTGCTGTTCCGGGAACATTACCGAGGAGGAGGAGGAGGAAGAAGAAGGTGAGGACGAGGATGATGGTTGCTTGGATGATTGGGAGGCCATGGCAGATGCTTTAGCCGCCGATGACAAGCACGAAATTCCTTGTTCTGATTCACCCCCTGTGGTTTTGCCTCGTGAAGGATCCAATTTAGAGTCTCCGAATTCAAAACCCGAGAGTAGTAGATTGGTTCCTTGGGGCTCTGGTAGTAGCCGAGCATGGAGGGCCGATGACGCCTTTCGCCCTCAGAGTTTGCCCAATTTGTCTAAGCAGCACAGTATGCCGAACCCTGATCGCCGCTGTGTTGGAGGGGTCCCCTGGGCTCGTGTCTCCACGCCTTCCTCGTGTCCTATTTGCTGTGAGGATCTGGATTTGACGGACACCAGTTTCTTGCCTTGTTTCTGTGGGTTTCGGCTTTGCCTCTTTTGCCACAAGAGGATTCTGGAGGAGGATGGGCGTTGTCCCGGTTGTAGGAAGCCTTATGAGGGTGAACCAGTTGAGACAGAGGCGAGTGTGCATGGAGGCAACCTCACTCTTCAGTTGGCACGTTCCTGCAGCATGATCGAGAGGTCTTGAGCCCGCGGTCTGTCCTTTTCTGTTTTTTTTTTTTTTGCATCATCGTCTGTATTTTAGGGGATATCTAATTTTCATAGATCTAGTTGGCCTAGTGTTATGAGTTTTTGAGCACCTTGAAATCAAGTTGTTTCTCGTTTGATCTTATGGTGCATGTGGTAATGTAGAGTACTCATGTTGGTATGTGAATACATAAGGTGGTATAGAAATTCAATACATTGAATATGGTGAAATCATGCGGGTTATTTCCTTTATGCTTCTAATTATTTTATTCATGTTTTGTGTACAGTTTCTCTTCTCTAAAGTCTATTACTTCTATATTTGAAACATCATGTTTAATTGAAAAAGTTAAATTTCTGATAATGTTAACTTTTTGGTGGTGTTGGAATGTGTAATGTTTATATTTTCTCTCTTTCTTTCTCTCTCTGACATAATTGCATTTGTATTTGTTGTACTCTGAGACACTTACAATGCTGTCATGTGTCATGACCTTTCTTCCTTTAAGATATTTGTTGCTATGTATTAATTAGTTGAAGTTATATGGTAATAATTATCATCAGCCAAGTCATAATCTGTATGGTTTTCCTATAGTTTTTATCGTCTTTGAATGATACTTTGATTTATGAGTGGGAAGGGAGGGGCGACGACGTAAGGGAAAGAAGGGGGAAGCAAGGGATAATAAAATCCACCCAAATGTTGGAGGGCATTTGAAGGTGATATGTTGTCCCTCTCATCTTCCTTTCCTCCATTCCTCACCAACCAATATTAATGTTACATTGTCTCTGTTTATAAGTCACTAAAGTTTTTCAAAAGCTAATTTTAATCATTTAACTGGCTTGTAAATTGTTTCCGTCCATGAAGGATGGCACAAAAGTGCTTGTAGTTTATAATGTTTGCTACTTTGTTCTAGCCTTTCACTTCATTTGACAAATCTGTTATGCAAAATTATAATTTGTTAAATATGGCTGCAACATTTTGTTACTGGAACATCTTTGCACAAATAAGATATATGCCATTGTTATAGCTTGGTTCTCCTTTTTCCTATACCCAATTCTATGCTCACATGAAAGAGATTTTTTACATCCATTTTTTATGACTTAAAATTGTAAATACAGCTTTTTTCATGGCATTTGAACATTTATTTTTGTTGTTTCCAATTGATCATCTTTTAGGAACAGATAATATACCGGTGTTAAATGTAAGTATGAAGACAGGTTAATAGTGTTTTCAAGTTTTTCAAGGTATGGGAATATTTTTATGGCATTGTTGTGCATTGATCTTATAGGTTTGATTCAGTTTCGGTCAAAGAATAATTTGTCCTTCCTGCTTCCTTGGGGTTCAAATAAGTGGTACATGACTGGTCTACCATTGATTTCAATCAACTACCATCCGGTCATCATCTTCACTCCTTGTAATCTTTCAAAATTGGTACTTAATTTAATTTTTGTTTGTACTAGTAATTTGGGCAAAACAACCATTTACTGTGTATACAACAACTGGTGAGTCATTCTGCATTGATATAGTTTCTTTTATATTCTGCCCGGTCCTTCACCTATGGTCAAGAGACCCACAGAGTAAGCTAGCACAGTTTTAATATCTACATGAAACAGAGAAATTGGATTATGACTATGAAAATATATATAGAATTGGCTTGTCGAAAATTCTTTCTACATGAGTAGTTGATTCTATAATGTGAGTAGTGAGTTAGTTATTTAGATCAATAATTTTTTAAAAGATCAGTAGGCTACTTATATGAAAATGGATGACATTTGGGAAGATGGAAGAGTGTAAGAAAGATGGAAATTTGTGAACGAAAATTATTTCGTTTGTTTGGTATGATATAAGTATGAGGGATCAGAAGATTTAATTGGCTGACAATTGCATATTTTTTTCTTCTCTCGTAATTGTCATAATATTCTCATCTGTCGTCACTTTTTATATTTGGTAGCATGTTTTTCACGATCAATTTCTCTGTCTCTCCTGCAGTTACTGGTTTGGGGTTTGTTGTAGTGTAGACAATGGAACTGATCACATGAAAGGTACTAATAAATATTTGTCGATGCCTTGTGAGCTATGGTTATACAATCTGTACTTGTATTATGTTAAATGCTTCATTTGGGAAGAGTTGATCTTATGAGAAATATGAACCACCTTCTTATTATTATTATTATTTTCTTTGATTTATGAGCTACACTCGTACACCTGCTGATTGTCTTTTTCCAACAAATTTGATGCCAGACAGATGACACAATTGTTCGAATATTTGAGAAATAGAACTATTATGAGACATAAGAATACATAGATAATCAGGCTGCTCTGCTAGTGGTAGGTCTATCCTTTTTTTGTTTGACGATGTTCTGAAATAAGCTAAAGAATAGGAATCGAGTCCAGCTTTTTTACTGGGTAGGTTTAGTTGTTTCTATGATATGTATTTACACTAATTTTAATATTTTAAAATACATTATAAAATTTTGAAATATCAAAATTGGTGTAACTTGGAGGCACAACAGGAAGATAACACAAAACAACCAAAAAACAGGAATCCCTTCGGAATTATGATAAAATTTTAGCAAGTTTGAACGTTCTGATGATTAGATTTAACCAGTGTGATTAAGTAATAGCAGTTGCTGGAATGTCAGCTTTGCAAACAGAAGACGTTTGGGCTATTGAGAGTGGAAACATGCACATGAAAAGTTAACTCTTGTAAACGTAATTGAACATGCTGTACATGTGAGTAAATTAGATTTGGGAAGTACCCCTATAACTTTCTGGTTACCTTGCTTGGTTGTTTTGTATTAGTAAAGTTGTTGATGTGTAAGGAAATCGCGAGACCTTTTATCTCAAAAAATCTGCATGTTGTACACACTAAGCAACCAAATGTAATATACCCCTGTATTGTTATAGATATTATTATTGCGGTAAGTTCGCTCAGTTTTATAAATAGGAAGGTGGGTAAAGACTTGATGATGCTGTATCTGGTTTTCTGCGGCTTTGAAGCGTATGCTTATGGCAAAAGATAGGTTTTTAAATTGAAGATTGTAATGGACGGTCAACTAATATCTCGAATGATAATTTTCTGCTGTTCTTAGCCATTATGCTTTTCCTGTATAGTGTTTCGTTTGCAGTTCGTAAACTAGTGGTTGGCACAATATTAACTTAATTGTTTTTACACTTCTGTTTCAATCAAGGATTTCGATGGAACACGTGTGTAATTTTTCAAAACAGGTTATTTGTGGATAGAATTTTGTTTACATTGCCCATGTGAAATTTTGGGGTGTGAAAACCGTTAGCCGAACATGCATTTAATATTTGAACAAGTTTTGTGCTTTTAATTCCCTTAATCTAACTTATCTGTGCATTTAACGTTATTTGTTTTTTTAATATCCTCGGTTGTTCCTTTTCTGGGTCAAAATAATATGATTTGCCCGCATTATGTTTTGACGACCAATTGGTGTTTATTTGGTTTGCCGCAATCGTCGAGCTTGCTTACTGCAATTTGTATGATGAAAATTAGTTTCATTTCCGCCAGCCTTTCGTTAACATTATGTTCTTTGTTAGGCACTATGTTTCTTTTTTAGCACACGAGTCAAGTGCAGCTAAAAACTGGCTTTTACTTCCTGTACCTTCATTACATGCACGTCAATAACTTTTAAAATGTTCATCATAACCTTGTTCGAGGTTTCCGGAACACACCTTCTGAAAGATATTTATTGGAAAAGTATCCTTCCTGATTAGAATATGCAGAAAGTTAGTTTTTATTTCTGAAAAACACATTCCCTGCAAAAATCAATCCGGAAAGTTATCGAATAGCAAATGTTATAGCTGATCGAAAACGCATTTTCGAACCTCACCGGAGTAGCTAGCTCGTGATATAAGGCCTCGAATCTAACTTCCAATACACAATTGAATTCACTGCAAGAACAAATAAATAAAAATGTTAACTGAAACCCACTCTGCGTAACCTTGTACAGTTCACAGTTTCGCCTCAATTAACCACAACGAAAGAGCAAAACTGCAAAAAGTGGATTTCAGTAAATGAGTAAGACCTTGTCCTGTGCTGCCTCGACAGCGCCTCCGCCGAATCATCCATGTTCCTCGTCGAATCGATTCAAAGACCTCCTAAACTTAACAGCGTCACCGTGAGAATTCGCCACTTGTGACGTAGCCGTGATGCCCCGGCAGTTTTCCTCCGTAATTCTGTTCTGGAATGCAAAAATAATGTTCCAATATTCCTAAGTAGAAAGGAATACTTTTGCGATCAATTTCTTCCGGAAGGTGTGTTTGGAATCCTCTAACTAGGAGGAGTATTTTAAATGGATTTGTAGTTTTCAACTGTTTGCGACAAAGTGCAACATGTGGTAATGCCCTTCCGTTAAGTTTCTGATGGGTACGTCTTGCCCCTTTTGTGTATTACGAAAAGGAGAAAAGAAAGGGAATATTCCGTTATCAAGATTAGATTAGCTTTTAGGATACGTTACGTTTGAGCGATACTTAAAAAAAAAACTAAAAATGCTATATGGTACTTAGTCAAAGCGAAAATAAAAGTGTAGATACTACATTGATATGGTACGATAGGAAGGGAAAGATAAAAAAAACTACATTTAAAATTAATAAGTAAACCATCGTTTTTAGATATCGCTTTTCTTCATATTTAGTCTCCCCAGTACTGAAAGCTAAAAATCATCAATGTTTGAAGATATTAATCATATCTTCTTTGTATACATCATCAGCCTGTAAGATCATATATTCTTCATTTGTATAAGATATAACGGATAATCATTCTAACCGAGTATTACAAATAAGAACAAAATTAAGAAAAAAAGAAAAGAAGGTTGCCAAAAACATACAATTGTTTTAAGTTCACTCATTTTTAACACTTATCAAACAAAAACCCGAATTATCATATGTAAGAACGAAGCAAAAGGATTATTACATTTGAAATTATTTAATTTACTGAATTATTAATCAAAAGGTTGAACGTTCTAAAACATTGGGAACATTGAAGAACCAAGTAAAGAAAGAGAGATTGCGGCAATGAGAACCATACGTGTGATTTGGAATAAATTACAAACAAGAAAACGACATGGCTACTTACTCACCCTGAATTGATGCGTTTATTGAGGAAGTTGATTCATCCTTCGACCACTTCTTGGGTGTCCTTGTTCATCATATGCACTCTTATCAGTTTCTTCACCGCCAAAAGAAAGAAAGAAAATATCAGTTTCTTGGCAACTGCAGATCCCACACCGGTGCAAGATCTTTCCATGGCTGGCATTGAACGAGAGGCTCCGTACGTCAGTTCCTCAAATTGCAGATTTTGCATTTTCAGCGTACCCCTTTTGCCCTCGAGCCACCGCCGTGTGGGTTCATCTTGTTGCCCCTCAACACCAACGTGCCTTCTTCTCTTCCTTCCTATGGAACTGGATCTTCATCTTTTTGCTCCCAAGTTGTAGATTTTCTCTGTCAACTTCTAACACCCTCATATTCTCTAAATACATCTTCTGTGTTCTCACTGTCCCTAAAATTATCTATTTGGCTTCACTTCCTAATATTTTCTTCTCTTCGTTAATTAATCATTCTGTTGATAACTTTATTAAAGCATTCATCTTCCGTTTACCACTTAAAAAGAAACAAATGAACAATGACATCAGTAAATAATGTTATCTAACATTTATGATGTGTTTCATCCTATGAATCTAACGTTATTGAATTCTATCCTCACATGGGTAAAGAGACTAGAGAAGAAAAATATTTCATCAAAAATTAGTTTATACAAATATCTTTCACTTTTATTTGAATTTTAATTTTGTGATGAAAAGCTTTTAATGTGTCAGCAAAAGTAATATTAATTCTCAATAAAAACTATTAAAAAAATTAATAATAATAATACTAATAATAATGATAATAATTATTATTAAAATAAAAATTATTAATAATAATAATAATTACACTATTTTATAATAATTTTTATCATAAAATCTAACAATTTTATTTATTAAAATATATTTTTTATCTATTAATCTATCAAATCATTTACTAACTCTACTTTCAAATCTCTTTACTTTCACTTTCACTTCATTATCATTGTAACAAACACCACAACAATGTATTCCCTCAAACATATTAATTTCCTCTCTCTCAAATCTATATTTATAAACAATAATTTTGTGTTTTGTTTCGGTTAAATTGGTCTGAGGGTCGGTCGTCTTTCCTTGCTCTACTCTCTTTTGATCTTCAATCGTCTCCGAGAATGCAATCCACTTTGATGAGTTGTTGACTTGCAGAAGACACTCCGACGCTCAAGTCAGATATGTTTCATAAAGAAAGGTCACTATTTTATTATGATAGAAAAAGATGATTGTAGCTGGACATCAATTGGACATCAATTGTATATTTATAGGACTTGTGACAGCCAAGTCCATTAATTAACCATTAGTGCAATATATTTTTAGGCAATCAAACCCAATAATACCGTATATTTGTAAAGCGTAAGACAATTAATTCCGATCGGTATATTTCATATAGTACATAAGTCCCCCAAGCCCAAGCAAGCTCTTTATTAAAAGAGGTGCGTAGGGATTATTATGAGCTTTAAAAGAGGTGCGTAGGGATTATAGTATTTAGGGAGTCTATTTTCGATGCGCTTTAAGTCTTCATTCCTTTTTGTACCAAGCGACATATTGTGCAAGAAATTTTCACTCCAAAAAATATTCGTTAAACAAAATAAAGTAAACACTTCAATATCTATTTTTATAATGAGAAGGCATTGGAACCTGATAAAGCTAAACGTAGGTGGTCAAGCGGGATAGGACTGGACTTGTTGAGTAGTTGACTGATAGGAATTCTTTTTTGAACTTTTTTCTTTAGGCCGAGTGGTAGGGATTCTCTTTTGAGCTTAAGAGCCCGAGAACCTTTTCCTACGTTGATTGACGAACGATAGGGATTCCCTTTTGAGCTTAAGAGCTCGAGAACCTTTTCCTACATTGGGCAATGATCAGTGGGGACTCCCTTTTGAGCTTAATAGCCCGAGAGCCTTTTCCCATGTTGAGCAACGAACAGTAGGGACTCCCTTTTGAGCATAATAGCCCGAGAGTTTTTTCCCATGTTGAGCAACAAACGATAGGGACTCCCTTTTGAGCATAATAGCCCGAGAGCCTTTTCCTACGTTAGGCAATGATCGGTGGGGACTCCCTTTTTAGCTTAATAGCCCGAGAGCCTTTTCCCACGTTGAGAAACTAACGGTAGGGACTCCCTTTTGAGCATAATAGCCCGAGAGCCTTTTCCTACGTTGGGTAATGATCGGTGGAGACTCCCTTTTGAGCTTAATAGCCCGAGAGCCTTTTCCCATGTTGAGCGACGAACGGTAGGGGTTCCTTTTTGAGCTTAAGAGCCCGAGAACCTTTTCCTACGTTGATAGGAGTTCTTTTTCCAAAACTTTTTCTTTGAGCCGAGCGACGACTGATAGGAGTTCTTTTTCTAGAACTTTTTCCTAGGCCGAGCGGCGAGCGATAGGAGTTCTTTTTAGAACTTTTTCCTGCGCAGGATATTTTTACTCACAAAAATATGCGTTAAATAAAATATTCAATATTTTATTTTTATAATGATAAGGTTGAACCTTGGTTTGAACCTTCTTGGGCAGGATATTTTTACTCACAAAAATATAAAATATTCAATAATGAGATGACATTAAACGTTGGTCTGAACCTTCTTGTGTAGGATATTTTTACTCACAAAAATATGCGTTAAATAAAATATTTAATATTTTAGTTTTATAATGAGGAGCCATTAGAACCTGACAAGGCTAAACGTAAGACTAAATCTTCCTGTAAAGGATATATTTACTCACAAAAATATGAGTTAAACAAAATAAAACAAATGCTTCAATATATTATAATTTATAATTTATAATAAAAAGTGGAACCTAACAAGGTTGGTTGAACGTAAGACTCAACCTTTCTATAAAGGATATTTTTACTCACAAAAATATGAGTTAAACAAAATAAAATAAATGCTTCAATATATTATAATTTATAAATTATAATAAAAAGTGGAACGTAAAACTGAACCTGGAGGATATTAAATATGAGTTAAACAAAATAAAAATTATAATTTATAAATTATAATAAAAAGTGTTGGAACCTGAGAAGGTTGGATATAGGGTTGAACTTTCCTGAAAGTTCTCAAAACAAAAAAATATGCTTTTAGAAATTATTATGGAATTTTGTACTCTTGTTGCAAAACCTGGTATTGATTCGAAGTAACAATGTCAAGGCCGAGCGCACGTCTATACGTTTGGTTCCTCGTAGTTTCATGGGGATGTCGCTCGGCCCCACGGTGGGCGCCAAAATGTTTCGGTTAAATCCTTGCTCTACTCTATTTTGATCTTCAATCCTATTCGAGAATGCAATCCACTTTGATGAGTTGTTGATCTGCAGAAGACACTCCGACGCTCAAGTCAGATATGTTTCATAAAGAGATGTCACTATTTTATTATGATAGTAAAAGATAATTGTACCTGGACATCAATTGTATATTTATATTGTGACAGCCAAGTCCATTGATTAACTATTAGTGCAATATATTTTTAGGCAATCAAACCCAATAATACAATATATTTGTAAAGCGTAAGACAATCTGACCTGTTAATACCGGTTAATTGTCCATAAATGACATCTGATCGATATATTTTTTAGACAATCAAACCCAATAACACCGTATATTTGTAAAGCGTAAGACAATCTGACCTATTAATACCTGTTAATTATCCATAAATTACATCTGATCGGTATAATAATGTTATTTGTTTTAAGGAATAGATCAAGAGGTTTAAAAAAAATGTTTATAAGAGTTTGTGAATGATTTGATGGATGTGTAAGACAAAAATATGTTTTAATAAATTAAAATGTAATATTACATTTTTACTTTTATAATTAAAATGAACAGAAAATAAAATATATTTAGTTAAAATTAATTAAATAAATAAATTTATTTAGTTAAAATAACATTTCAATAGGTATAAATAATTTAAAATAAAATGTGACTTATTGCAAATAAATTTAATTACAAACTGAATTATAAAAAAAAAGTGACAATATTATTAATATATGTTGGGAATATGGACTTTTTACAGTTTAATTAAAATAATAATATTAATATATGCATGTCTAGCTTTGTAACAAAGATTAAAAAAAAAGTAAGGGTAGATTTGTCATTGTAATAGCCATCTACAATAAATCCGTGTAAATTTTCACCTTATGTGAGGATCATAATCTCGTCTCTCGTTTGCAATTCCATAGCCCCAAATCATACCAAATTTGTTGATCTAAATAAGGGATCATTGGCTTTCTCCCTGTCGCTAATAATAAATCTGTTGGTCCAAATAAACCACACATTATTAAACTCAAATCTCGGGATTATTTGGAGTTCAAAATAAAGGTTTATTTTGGTGAACAAGATTAATGAGCTTTGAACTCAATTTTGCTTTGGAATACTTGAGTCATTCCAAGTTTAGAAAACAAGGCTTGAAAGATTGTGTCGATTTCCTTATGATTTTTCCTAAACTTCCAAGACCGAGCATACTGTTCAAATTTTAATATTTTATTATCTATTAAATATTCAAATATACAAGATTGTTACACTTAATAAAGTTAAATAAACCATGATCAGTGAAGAACGAAGGAATGGAGGTATTTGGGTAAGAAAATGTAACAGAATAGCTCTCTATTTCGATATATATTGATGATTTTCTACTGTACATGAGCAAGACCAAATGACAAACAAATGGCCAAAAAATTATCGATTCTCACACTTGCTTTTCTGATTCCTAAGGTATGGATTGGTGAACGAATGCAAAAAACACAACACAAGCTTTTGAGATTAACACCTGGTGTCGACAAAATTGGAGACAGGCAGTAGTGAATCTGTGATCACATCACAATCTAGCCTTCTTTGAGGATAATGGTGACGGATCGCATGGAAGAGAGATGGGTGAGTATGTTGCAGACAGTGGTGGACTGCAATCAGTTGACCTCATTCTTTTGAGAGATTTTTTTTCAACATCCTTCACTTTCCCTTTCATGATGAAATCTTTCAAGCGTCTTACATCTGACAATTTTACAGGTTTCAACAGAAACTCCTCTGCTCCTTCCTCCAGGCACCTGTCAATTCGTAGGAATCAACTGTTGAGAAACATGCATAGGAATACAAGTATGCATTATTGGTAGGTGCATTATAAAATGCAATGCTTTAATACAATATGATAAATTACCAGAAGCTTATATCACCACAAGAACGAAAAAAAAAACTCATGTCACAAACCTCTATCTTAGGTAAAGGATTTTGGCTATATATTTTGACGAGGGAAGGGGACTTATTCTGGAAATTCTGTTAATAAATTTGGTAAATATTTAATATTTGTAAAGCACGTCCCCGATCCCTGTTATGATTTTTTGTCGGAGCTAAGCTAATCATGGCTTAACCAATCACGGTGCCACATATATGTCCTAATGGCTATAAAAGACTTTTACGCCATTTGAGTGGATTTGAGAGGATGGATTTGAGGGGATTTGAGAGGATTTGAAGATAATTCTTTTTGTCGTTTAGTTGAGTGAATTTGAAGGTAAATGAGAGTGAATTTGGAAATAATTTTTTTTAATTTGTCATGTCAATACAATTCTATACTAATTCTCACAAAATTTATTTTCAAATTCACTATCATTTACCTCCAAATTCACTCAAGATCTACACAAGATAGGTACTAACATTTTGAGGTAGTATGTCAGTATAACTATCCTTGTCAATATCAGGCTAGAGTTAGAAAAAAGTTGATATCATTTGAGATTCAACTTATCGAAAGGATTCCACAATCGTATCCATATACTCGTATTTTTTTCACTAAAATACTATCTTATTGTAGATGCAATAGGAAGTATGTCACAACATTCCCGATACATTTTCTACTTCACCCTGCCAGTTCATAGACCAAACAACAAACACCATCGAAATTGTAATCCATGCCAAAACATAGAAATTATTTGAAGAGTTCAATGATTAAAAAAACTAGATAGCACCTACAATTCCATTGCAGATCCAAAAGACGTGTATGCTAACGGAGAGTTTACCTATCAATTCGAGTCAATACATTCTCCGACGACATGATAACCACTGGAATCTCTCTAAACACGGAAGACTCCTGCTGAATTTAACAGAAAGAAGTGTTATTAAGAATAAACTCCCTCCCTGTTTACAATCTATCGACAAACTCTGCAGTTATCAATCCTCAAATAAAAGGAATTATCCTAATAACACAAAACAACCTTCGGAGGATAAAAATCAAAGACACTACACACCTTGATTTTCTTGAGTAATTCGTATCCTGTCATCCCCGGCATGGAGTAATCCGTCATTATGAGATTAACCTTCGCACTCTGTCACCAAAACCAATAAACAAAAATAATACGTTAGCAACAACCTACTTAAAACACCAACGTGAAAACAACGCCACAAACTAAGTAGCAGAACTNTGTTGAGCGACGAACGGTAGGGGTTCCTTTTTGAGCTTAAGAGCCCGAGAACCTTTTCCTACGTTGATAGGAGTTCTTTTTCCAAAACTTTTTCTTTGAGCCGAGCGACGACTGATAGGAGTTCTTTTTCTAGAACTTTTTCCTAGGCCGAGCGGCGAGCGATAGGAGTTCTTTTTAGAACTTTTTCCTGCGCAGGATATTTTTACTCACAAAAATATGCGTTAAATAAAATATTCAATATTTTATTTTTATAATGATAAGGTTGAACCTTGGTTTGAACCTTCTTGGGCAGGATATTTTTACTCACAAAAATATAAAATATTCAATAATGAGATGACATTAAACGTTGGTCTGAACCTTCTTGTGTAGGATATTTTTACTCACAAAAATATGCGTTAAATAAAATATTTAATATTTTAGTTTTATAATGAGGAGCCATTAGAACCTGACAAGGCTAAACGTAAGACTAAATCTTCCTGTAAAGGATATATTTACTCACAAAAATATGAGTTAAACAAAATAAAACAAATGCTTCAATATATTATAATTTATAATTTATAATAAAAAGTGGAACCTAACAAGGTTGGTTGAACGTAAGACTCAACCTTTCTATAAAGGATATTTTTACTCACAAAAATATGAGTTAAACAAAATAAAATAAATGCTTCAATATATTATAATTTATAAATTATAATAAAAAGTGGAACGTAAAACTGAACCTGGAGGATATTAAATATGAGTTAAACAAAATAAAAATTATAATTTATAAATTATAATAAAAAGTGTTGGAACCTGAGAAGGTTGGATATAGGGTTGAACTTTCCTGAAAGTTCTCAAAACAAAAAAATATGCTTTTAGAAATTATTATGGAATTTTGTACTCTTGTTGCAAAACCTGGTATTGATTCGAAGTAACAATGTCAAGGCCGAGCGCACGTCTATACGTTTGGTTCCTCGTAGTTTCATGGGGATGTCGCTCGGCCCCACGGTGGGCGCCAAAATGTTTCGGTTAAATCCTTGCTCTACTCTATTTTGATCTTCAATCCTATTCGAGAATGCAATCCACTTTGATGAGTTGTTGATCTGCAGAAGACACTCCGACGAACAAGTCAGATATGTTTCATAAAGAGATGTCACTATTTTATTATGATAGTAAAAGATAATTGTACCTGGACATCAATTGTATATTTATATTGTGACAGCCAAGTCCATTGATTAACTATTAGTGCAATATATTTTTAGGCAATCAAACCCAATAATACAATATATTTGTAAAGCGTAAGACAATCTGACCTGTTAATACCGGTTAATTGTCCATAAATGACATCTGATCGATATATTTTTTAGACAATCAAACCCAATAACACCGTATATTTGTAAAGCGTAAGACAATCTGACCTATTAATACCTGTTAATTATCCATAAATTACATCTGATCGGTATAATAATGTTATTTGTTTTAAGGAATAGATCAAGAGGTTTAAAAAAAATGTTTATAAGAGTTTGTGAATGATTTGATGGATGTGTAAGACAAAAATATGTTTTAATAAATTAAAATGTAATATTACATTTTTACTTTTATAATTAAAATGAACAGAAAATAAAATATATTTAGTTAAAATTAATTAAATAAATAAATTTATTTAGTTAAAATAACATTTCAATAGGTATAAATAATTTAAAATAAAATGTGACTTATTGCAAATAAATTTAATTACAAACTGAATTATAAAAAAAAAGTGACAATATTATTAATATATGTTGGGAATATGGACTTTTTACAGTTTAATTAAAATAATAATATTAATATATGCATGTCTAGCTTTGTAACAAAGATTAAAAAAAAAGTAAGGGTAGATTTGTCATTGTAATAGCCATCTACAATAAATCCGTGTAAATTTTCACCTTATGTGAGGATCATAATCTCGTCTCTCGTTTGCAATTCCATAGCCCCAAATCATACCAAATTTGTTGATCTAAATAAGGGATCATTGGCTTTCTCCCTGTCGCTAATAATAAATCTGTTGGTCCAAATAAACCACACATTATTAAACTCAAATCTCGGGATTATTTGGAGTTCAAAATAAAGGTTTATTTTGGTGAACAAGATTAATGAGCTTTGAACTCAATTTTGCTTTGGAATACTTGAGTCATTCCAAGTTTAGAAAACAAGGCTTGAAAGATTGTGTCGATTTCCTTATGATTTTTCCTAAACTTCCAAGACCGAGCATACTGTTCAAATTTTAATATTTTATTATCTATTAAATATTCAAATATACAAGATTGTTACACTTAATAAAGTTAAATAAACCATGATCAGTGAAGAACGAAGGAATGGAGGTATTTGGGTAAGAAAATGTAACAGAATAGCTCTCTATTTCGATATATATTGATGATTTTCTACTGTACATGAGCAAGACCAAATGACAAACAAATGGCCAAAAAATTATCGATTCTCACACTTGCTTTTCTGATTCCTAAGGTATGGATTGGTGAACGAATGCAAAAAACACAACACAAGCTTTTGAGATTAACACCTGGTGTCGACAAAATTGGAGACAGGCAGTAGTGAATCTGTGATCACATCACAATCTAGCCTTCTTTGAGGATAATGGTGACGGATCGCATGGAAGAGAGATGGGTGAGTATGTTGCAGACAGTGGTGGACTGCAATCAGTTGACCTCATTCTTTTGAGAGATTTTTTTTCAACATCCTTCACTTTCCCTTTCATGATGAAATCTTTCAAGCGTCTTACATCTGACAATTTTACAGGTTTCAACAGAAACTCCTCTGCTCCTTCCTCCAGGCACCTGTCAATTCGTAGGAATCAACTGTTGAGAAACATGCATAGGAATACAAGTATGCATTATTGGTAGGTGCATTATAAAATGCAATGCTTTAATACAATATGATAAATTACCAGAAGCTTATATCACCACAAGAACGAAAAAAAAAACTCATGTCACAAACCTCTATCTTAGGTAAAGGATTTTGGCTATATATTTTGACGAGGGAAGGGGACTTATTCTGGAAATTCTGTTAATAAATTTGGTAAATATTTAATATTTGTAAAGCACGTCCCCGATCCCTGTTATGATTTTTTGTCGGAGCTAAGCTAATCATGGCTTAACCAATCACGGTGCCACATATATGTCCTAATGGCTATAAAAGACTTTTACGCCATTTGAGTGGATTTGAGAGGATGGATTTGAGGGGATTTGAGAGGATTTGAAGATAATTCTTTTTGTCGTTTAGTTGAGTGAATTTGAAGGTAAATGAGAGTGAATTTGGAAATAATTTTTTTTAATTTGTCATGTCAATACAATTCTATACTAATTCTCACAAAATTTATTTTCAAATTCACTATCATTTACCTCCAAATTCACTCAAGATCTACACAAGATAGGTACTAACATTTTGAGGTAGTATGTCAGTATAACTATCCTTGTCAATATCAGGCTAGAGTTAGAAAAAAGTTGATATCATTTGAGATTCAACTTATCGAAAGGATTCCACAATCGTATCCATATACTCGTATTTTTTTCACTAAAATACTATCTTATTGTAGATGCAATAGGAAGTATGTCACAACATTCCCGATACATTTTCTACTTCACCCTGCCAGTTCATAGACCAAACAACAAACACCATCGAAATTGTAATCCATGCCAAAACATAGAAATTATTTGAAGAGTTCAATGATTAAAAAAACTAGATAGCACCTACAATTCCATTGCAGATCCAAAAGACGTGTATGCTAACGGAGAGTTTACCTATCAATTCGAGTCAATACATTCTCCGACGACATGATAACCACTGGAATCTCTCTAAACACGGAAGACTCCTGCTGAATTTAACAGAAAGAAGTGTTATTAAGAATAAACTCCCTCCCTGTTTACAATCTATCGACAAACTCTGCAGTTATCAATCCTCAAATAAAAGGAATTATCCTAATAACACAAAACAACCTTCGGAGGATAAAAATCAAAGACACTACACACCTTGATTTTCTTGAGTAATTCGTATCCTGTCATCCCCGGCATGGAGTAATCCGTCATTATGAGATTAACCTTCGCACTCTGTCACCAAAACCAATAAACAAAAATAATACGTTAGCAACAACCTACTTAAAACACCAACGTGAAAACAACGCCACAAACTAAGTAGCAGAACTCGCTTACATCCAACCCGAGAGAACCGGTCTCTCCTTCCAAGCCCAGATACTGAAGAGCACGCGTTCCACTCTCCACAATCGTCACTGAAAAACCGCCGTTCCAAACACAAAAAACCTTCAGAACCAATCTCGATTTGGCAAACGAAAATCACAAACAGACTATTCGCAACGTCGGGTACCTTTGCAGGAAGAAACCTTGAGCAAGCGTTCGATGACATTGCGATCAACGAGGCTGTCATCGACGGCAAGAACGTGAAGCTCTGGCGAACCAGAAGGAGACTCCTCGAGCAATTCCGTTAAGTTTTGCCGGAAAATCTCACCGGTGATGGCCATGAAAGTGAAAAGTTTAACAGAGGTGGGTGGTGTGAGAAAAGAAAGTAGAGAGAAAAATGGGTGGATTTTGTTTATATATTGTTAGAAGGGAAAGGGAGAGAGAGTGATGAATATAAATATAAAAAGTAAAATGAATGAAAAGTAAAAGAAAATAATAGGTTTAATTGCTTCCTTTGTCCCCAGTTTGGTTGAATTGTGTCAAATTCATCCTCATTTTTAAAAAAGTTTCATTGTCGTCCTCTGTAAAAGTTTCATTGTCGTCCTCACGTGGTGTAAAAGTGTCAATTGAATCCAAACATAGAAAAAATTTGTGTCAAAGTAGTCATTTTTTCTATATCTCTGTGTCTTCCTTTCATACAATCAAGTACAGATATTCATTTTACCTTATCCAATTTAAGGCTTTTCATAGCTCCAGAG